CCTGTTGACTGAACTGTTCTTGCTTCTCAGACACTTCTTCCTATTATTTAATCAGAATCTGCCTCTTGACTCCATTCTTTCATGTCTTGCACTGTGGAATGATGGGGAACAGATCTTGACCTCCTTATGTGGTTTCCTTTCAGGTATCAGTTGACTTTGAAGCTTAATTCAAGATGCTACTTCTTATCTTTAAATCATTAAATGGCTTGGAACCAAGTTAACTTAAAGGATCTTCTTTATCCCATACAGTTAGATCAAGGACCGAGCCTTTTCTGTGGTGGCTTCAAAGTTAAAACAATATCTTGCTATTTGGGATTTCCACGTACCATCACTGCCAGCTTTTAGAGAAGCAATAAAGAGACTCATTCATTCATTCATTCATTCATTCATTCATTCATTCATTCATTCATTCATTCTAGTTTCTCCCGAATGAGTGATAGTTCTGTCTAGGTTACCCTTCATTTTCCTGTTCTTCACTCCATCAGCTTGTAAACTTCTATTTTCTTTTTCTTTTGTACTTGCTTGGATAAAACATTTTCCTGTTTTAGATATGCTCCTAATGACCTGGCCATCACTGAAATCCAGAGAAATCCAGATTGTTTCTGGCTTTTATGACCTTGAGTCATAATAAACAATTAAAAATGCATATAAAAGCAAATCAAGACATGCACACAAAGAAAGAGACCTCATTTGAATATCTTTAATTGAAAAAAAAATAGCAAGGTTCTCAGTTTAAGGACCTCTTTAAGCTTAACTCCCAGGGCACATATTCCTGCTGCCTTTCTCCAATTATTTCTGTCAGTCAGAACTGCATGGCAATAGGAAATGTAAGCTTTAAAGAGACTAGATCCTGGGAAATGGATGGACATTTTCCATGGCCTTCTCTGGCAAACTCTCCTGAGTTTAAGTTAACAGGAAGTTTACTGGGAATCCAGCTGCAGAATAACTGACTCACTACAGTTGTTCATTTCAGAACAGCTAATGAAAGAGTATTTCCTGCTTCCCTTGTTTCAACTTTCTCTGTGAGTTATCCAGCTCTTATGCGTTGCATCGTTTCCATCGTTCTCTCATTGAAAAAATCCAAAACAAGGAAAGTGAAAAGAATTTGTGCCAAACAGATCCCTCCTTTCCCAATTTTGATTCTATTACTCTTCAGAGTAATAAGTTATTTTATTTTATTTTAATGATTTATAGAGCTGTCCATCTCACAGCAGTGACTCTGGCCAGCGTAGAAAGACTCCGACCATCATAACAGTATGAACTCATGATGCCCTGGTTAAACAGTAACCCCTAAAACCAAACCACATCACCAACAGAACTCACCAAATTGCCTGGCCCAGAAGCCTAGAGGAGGAGCCGGGTCTTCAGAGCCTTACAAAAGACTAACAGGGTTGGATCTCTGGGGGGATGCTTTGGGGTCCAGCAAGATGCCCTTGTTTAATGAAATAGACTTGGAGCATGCCCTCCCTGCTAGATCTGGTAGGACAGGCAGAAACAATGGGGAATAGGTGGTCCCGCAAATAGCCTGGTCCTATGCCATGTAGGGCTTTATAAATAGTAACCAGCACCTTGAATCGGATTTGGAAGTAGACTGGGAGCCAATGCAGCTTGCAGAATGGAGGAGTTATATGAGCGTATTGAAAGACTCCAAAAACTGCCCACACTGCTGTGTTCTGGACCAACTGCAACTTCCAAATACTCTTCAAGGGCATCCCCATGTTGAGCACGTTATGGTAAAATTAGTGGGGGGTGACTAAGGCATGAGTCACCATGAGCAAAGTTAGCTCAGTGGTATAATTGGTATTGATTTCAAAGCAGGTTCATCAAGATGAAAAGAAAAAGCAGGATAAAATACTATTATTTTCTCACAGCTGATGCTCTAAACCAGTGTTTTTCAAACTTGGCAACTTTAAGGTGGGGGGACGTCAACTCCCAGAATTCCCCAGCCAGCATGTGGAGTTGAAGTCCACCCATCTTAAAGTTGCCAAGATTGAAAAACACTGCTCTAAACTGTCACAAGGCCACAATTATGAGTTTGATGCCCTTTTAGCAGAAACTTCAGAATAATATATACAGTTCTGAATGTTTGCAAGGACACAAACCTCTTCTGGGTGATGTAAATAATATTCCCATTCTTCACATTTTTTAAATTGCTTTGTCTCCTCTAACTTTCCATGGCAGTGCACTGTTTGGAACCCTTTTGGGCATCTCTTCCCCGGTAATGAAAAGCAGGGAATTAATTGTGTATGTAGTATAGCAATTTAGGGCATGTTGCTACAGCTGTAAGCTTCCCATTAGTTGGAAACAACAAAAAACATTTGTTTTTCCCAGAGGATTTGTGGTTTATGTTCTAACTTTCTAGGAATGCTTTCTTTCTCTCTCTCTCTCTCTCTCTCTCTCACACACACACAAACACATATGTTTTTGCCCTTGCACACAGGCATTGAAAAGGAACATTGATGAGTTGTAACTTTTGTGTGGGAATAGAGCAAAGCTGAAGAAGAACCTGATCACTCTCTAGCATTTAACCAACTTTTCAAAGGAGCTTTTATTCTATTCACCTTTCCGTTTTAAGCCTGTGAAGAAATGTGAGATGACTACACTTCAAGGGAGAAGGGACAGTCTTCAAGTGTTATTTCATAATCTTTCCATTCTGAAAAACATTTCCTTGAAATGTTTGCTGAGGAGGCACCATTGAAAGGACCTCCTTCTGCCATACCAGGGAAAGGAGATTTTTATTTGATGCTAGGATATTCTGCCTGCTTGTATTAAGAGCCAGTGTGGAACAGGGATTAAGGGGTTGAATTAGGAGCAGGGAGGACAAAACTCCTACCACACAGTCTACCTCACTGTGTGTTGGAGGACCAGCCATTTTCTTTCACTTCTTGTTCTGGGTAAAAAGTTGAAGGAAGGATCACTCTGTACACTCCCTTGAGATGCTAGAACAGTGTCTCTCCACCTTGACAACTTTAAGATGTGTGGACTTCAACTCCCAGAATTCCCCCCAGCTGGCTGGGGAATTCTGGGAGTT